AGAAATTCAGAAATTCAGAAATTCAGAAATTCAGAAATTCAGAAATTCAGAAATTCAGAAATTCAGAAATTCAGAAATTCAGAAATTCAGAGATTCAGAAATTCAGAAATTCAGAAATTCAGAAATTCAGAAATTCAGAAATTCAGAAATTCAGAAATTCTGAGATTCTGAGATTCTGAGATTCTGAGATTCTGAGATTCTGAGATTCTGAGATTCTGAAATTCTGAGATTCTGAGATTCTGAGATTCTGAGATTCTGAGATTCTGAGATTCTGAAATTCTGAGATTCTGAGATTCTGAGATTCTGAGATTCTGAGATTCTGAGATTCTGAGATTCTGAGATTCTGAGATTCTGAGATTCTGAGATTCTGAGATTCTGAGATTCTGAGATTCTGAGATTCTGAGATTCTGAGATTCTGAGATTCTGAGATTCTGAGATTCTGAGATTCTGAGATTCTGAGATTCTGAGATTCTGAGATTCTGAGATTCTGAGATTCTGAGATTCTGAGATTCTGAGATTCTGAGATTCTGAGATTCTGAGATTCTGAGATTCTGAGATTCTGAGATTCTGAGATTCTGAGATTCTGAGATTCTGAGATTCTGAGATTCTGAGATTCTGAGATTCTGAGATTCTGAGATTCTGAGATTCTGAGATTCTGAGATTCTGAGATTCTGAGATTCTGAGATTCTGAGATTCTGAAATTCTGAAATAATTCGGAAATTCTATGATGGGGCTCCGCCCACATCGTTGAGAAAATTCAAAAAATTTCAGAAAATTTAAAAATCCAAAATTTCAGAAAATTTCAAAAATCCAAAATTTCAGAAATTATACAAAAATTCATACATCCCATTTTGGCCAATTTTCCCATTTTCAATTTTTCCACTGCTATTTTTTTCAAAAGTTTAACTCCAATTTTTTCAGATCACCAGCTCAATGGCAACGTGCCAACGGTCTTTGGGGAAGATAATTTGGTTTTTTTTTTTTGGAAATTTTTTTTTCCAAAAATGTTGAATTGCAACCCTAAAATCCTTGTTTCCTCATTTATTCATTGCTTAAATTTTTTTTGAATTTTCAAAAAAAAAATTCCAACCACTTTTCCAAAAAAAAAACTGTATTATTCGAAGAAGCAGAATGTGTCGTTGTATCTATTTTTTTTCCGCAAATTCAAATTTTAACTTTTCCCGCCAAAATCATTTTTTTCTGAAAAATCGGTTTCCCTGTGCTTCCCCTTTTCCCCCTATTTTATCGATTGATTGATTCGTCTGTTGTGCCAAAAAAATTTTGAACAATTTAAAATTTTTTTTACAAATTCTGCTTTTTTAATTCTCGAATTTTTTCCTTATATTTTGTCGAAAGAAAATTTTTTGTATCCGTTCAAAAAGATAATGAATCTGTTTTCTGTTAATTTTTTTTTCATTTTTTGAAAATTCAGAATTTTCAAGATTTCGAATTTCTGAATTTCTGAAAATTTTGAATTTTTGTGATTCAGAACTTTAGAATTTTAGAATTCCCGATTTTCAAATCTTCAGAATCTCATAATTTCAAAACATCTCAGGTAAACGATTCTGAATTAGATCTGACTTGATTCTTATTCTAAATTCCGAAATTCCGAAATTCCGAAATTCCGAAATTCAGAAATTCAGAAATTCAGAAATTCAGAAATTCAGAAATTCAGAAATTCAGAAATTCAGAAATTTAGAAATTCAGAAATTCAGAAATCCAGAAATTCAGAAATTCCGAAATCCAGAAATTCAGAAATTCCGAAATTCCGAAATTCCGAAATTCAGAAATTCAGAAATTCCGAAATTCCGAAATTCCGAAATTCGGAAATTCGGAAATTCAGAAATTCAAAAATTCGGAAATTCAGATAATCCAGAAAGCTCTGAAATTCAGAAATTAGGACATTTGAATTTCGAAAAATTTGAAATTTTGATATTCTGATCTCAGGTAAAAGATTCTGAATTAGATCTGACTTGATTCGGAATTAGATCTGGGTTCGTTCGTAAATAGAAGTGGCATGATCTAATACAGAATTTAGCTGATCTAATTCCGAACGAACACCGAATGAACTACGAACGAATTAGATCTAATTCCGAACAGACCAGCGGGATTTCGGAGCATCGTAGCGCGCGCTTTTCAAATTTTGTTTTCTTTTTTATCGCCGGTTGCTTCATTTATGATAAAATTTATTTTAAAAAAAGGAGAAAAAAAAACCAGATAATAATAAAAAAGGAAAACAACCAAATGAGTTGGGATACAAATGAAATGGCTTTTGTAAATGAGATCAGAACAAGGCACTGACAGATAACAGGGAAAAGAATGAAAATGTGATTTAGGGGAAAAAGATAGAAAAAAGTTGAAAAATTATTAACAAGGAGCCATTGGAGCCGGAGGAAAAGGGTAGAAGAGGGGAGACAAGAGTGGTTTAAGCATCATTGGGTCCACTGGTGCGCTGTTTGCCGATTCTTCGCATGTCTTCTCTTGATTGGTTCCTGAAATATAATTTTTCGGAGTGAATGTAGAATTGATTTTTTCATGTCTCACTAGGGAAGGTTGTAATCGGGGGGTGGAACTTCGGTATGAGACCTATATCATTCGAAAGCTGAGAATGAGACATTTTCAAACACGTATTCAGATTTTGCTGAGGAGCTACCAGTTTCGAGAAAATCAAGTTTCAAATTTGGCTCAAATTCGACTCTTAAGGGCGCCGCGCCTCCCCTCTTTCTTATATAGATTGGTGGAAGGGAAACAAACAGCGAGCAGTGGTGTAGTGGCGAGGAGGGATGAAGAGCATCCAACCGGTTTTAGGTTCGATTCCTCTTCCCGTTATTGTTTTTTGATTTTATTTTTGGTTTTTGTGGCGATCTTCAAAATGCTATGAACGCATTTTTTTCAAAGAAAAATTTTAATTGGATACTTATTTTTTTACTGTTTCACAAGTTTTGAAAAGTACATACTCCATAGCTTTTGCAAATTTCTTGAAGCAACGCTACAAATCTTTTTTCAGTTCTTTATTTCAAAATCCACAAGATTTGTTCGTTATTGGGGTTGTAAAGTGATAAATCAATAAGAGATAATGTGAATATGTTTTTTCTCAAGTTTTGAGTACTACTGGGTGATTATCGAAGAAATATGGATTGTGGGATGTTCGAAAAAACATTAAAAGCTCTCGATTCCGAAAAGGATAGAGCTTCCAATTATTGCTAAAAGACTCATTTTATAGTTTCTGTCTGTTTAGAATTCGTTTTAGCACATTTGAAAATTTTTCGAAAAATAGTTTGAAAATGCCAAGGGGGTACCCCATGGATATTTTTCGTCAAAATTTGCTTTTCTGTAAAATCGAGAAAACTTTGCCAGATCGTAGAGGAACATTTGAAATTGTAATTACAATCAAAAAACTTCCAAAATCTTTCACCAATCATCGAATGTCTTAAATCAAAATGTAGTTTGAATAATGCTTCAAAAAAAGTTTTTCAAAGCATATAACATAAGTATTTCATAAGTTTTTAATAAAAGAAATAAATCCCATAAAGTTTTCAAGTTTTTTTCAAAAAAAAAATTTTCGCAAAAAATATCACCATGGGGTCCCCCCTTTGCATTTGCAATTTCTCAGATTTCGAACCCGATTTTTCTCGAAACTGGTAGCTCCTCAGCAAAATCAGAAGCAAATACATATTTGAAAATGTCTCATTCTCAGCTTTCGAATGATATAGGTCTCATACCGAAGTTCCACCCCCCGATTACAACCTTCCCTAGTCAGTGCACAAGTCGTAGGTTTTTCAATTCAGGCAAGGCAAAACCATTCAGGGTTGATAAAGCATTTGAAACGAATAGTAATTTATTAGCTACGAGACATCGCAATGATTATTGATACGACGTGAACTGAGCGCGCATAGATTTTTCAGGCATGATCTGCATTAAATAGAGAATTATAGAAATTAGGTAAAAAATGAACCTCGTTAAACCAATGATTGCACGCTTTTTGGACAAGAAGTTGTAGTGGGCAACGCAGAGGTGGACACTTTGACAAAACTTCATTAGCAGCACATATCTCGTCTACAAAAAAAATAATTTTTAAATCTGAAACTCTGGTATAAATAAACCATGAGTGACCGGATGAATCACAGTGATCTGATCCATAGAAGAAAAAACAAATGGATCAAGAATTGCCATCATTTCCGCCTGAACCCAGCTTATACTGTAATAGACTTCTAATTACACTCACGAATCCTTCCTTTCTCTTCTGAACTGAAACGGCGCTGTCGTGACGAGCTCTTTCAGCCTCAATCTGTAAAATGTCAAAAGTACCGATTTTTAAGATGTTATCGTGATTTACTCACTACCACCATTAGCCCAGAAATACCCTCTGCTAACATCGCCACTTCCGGAGAACCTTCGGATACTAACTGATTCAATTTTGTTAGGTCGAAACAGAGACGACCACGGATTTTCCAAACGCTTCATCTTCTTCACTGCCTCCGCCGCCGTCTCCGACAGTGCCTGCGTTGAATTCGCTTCGATTCGTCACCTTCAACGCCTTCAGCCTTCTCCTCGTTGAAACTTCTACCTCTTTTTTCTTGATTCGATATTGTGTCATGTCTGCAATATTTGAATTGAAACAGTTCTGAACAAACGCGGAAAGTGGACATGCGGACGAGCGGATAACGAAGGAAAAAATAATTTCACCTAAAATTCTGCAAAAAAGCTCGCTACGCATGAAAATATGTTCAATACAGTTACATTTGACTAGTTAGTGATTTCTAGGAAAAAAATCAGGTGAAAAACTGCAAAAATTTGAGAAAAAAAAATTCATATTATTGAATTTCTGAATTTCTGAATTTCGGAATTTCAGAGCTTTCTGGATTATCTGAATTTCTGAATTTCTGGATTTCTGAATTTCTGAATTTCTAAATTTCTGAATTTCTGGATTTCTGAATTTCTGAATTTCTAAATTTCTGAATTTCTGAATTTCTGAATTTCTGAATTTGTGAATTTGTGAATTTGTGAATTTCAGAATTTCTGAATTTCTGAATTTCTAAATTTCTGAATTTCGGAATTTCAGAATTTCTGAATTTCAGAATTTCTGAATTTCTGAATTTCAGAATTTCAGAATTTCTGAATTTCAGAATTTCAGAATTTCTGAATTTCAGAATTTCCGATATTTCAAATTGCAGATTTCCAGCATTTCAGCATTTCAGTGCTTTGAAATTCAAATTAATTAAAAAATAAATAAGCCATTTATTTTATTTCATTCAACTTGAAAAAAATCAAAAAAGAACATTTTAAGCACTTGAGAAAAGAAAGTGGGAATCACAAAATTAGTTTTTTCGGAAAAATGTTAAAAATAGAATTTTAAAAATTTGGGGAAAACTTCAGAATTCACATGTTGACAATCTGGTCCTTGGAGACTTGTTTTGGTGGGGCAATGCCGAGTTTTTCAACCTGAAATTTATTAAATTTTCAAATTTTTTATCATTGGAGCGTCTAGACTCTAGAGTACTGTAGCATTACTGTAGTTTTTCAATTCTTGTAGCTTGGGATTTAGATGCTAGGATTCTGTAAGCGTACAGTAACCGATGTGCTTGAGGACTGCTGAATATCATTTCCAGCTTCGAAATCAAGAATCTGGGATACGGTAGGATTACTGTAGTTTTTTCCACGAAAACATATTTTTGGGTTACTGTAGTTTAAATAAGGCCTGTAGGAGTACAGTAACCAAGGTCCTCAAATACTGGCTCAATACCACAGGAAACTGTAGGGTTACTGTTGTTTTAGAATTTCAAAGAAAACCATATTTAAGGATGTCTGTAAATGTTTGGATATTGTAGGAGGATACATAGCTTTGAAATCAAGAACTTAAGATACTGTAGAATTACAGATCATTAAAAACAAAGCTAGAATACTGTAGGATTCCAGGGTCCTCAAAAATCTAGCTTTGAAATCAAGTATCTAGGATACTATAGTGCAAAAAAATTTTTTTGATTCTTTGAAAAAGCATTCTCCATAGAGCACACTTCTCAAAATATTGCTCACCTTTCTGGCCAAACTTTGAAGGGTTACGGTAACGGAGAAGAGGTCGCGGCCATCGAAAAGGTCGACCGATTGGAAGGTCTGAAAGAAATGGAAGAGTTTTAGGAACTGGGGTTTCTAGGCCACGTACCTCCTCATCCTTAACACCCAATTTTCTGGCGGCATTTGTGAATTGATTGATATTTTCGAGACAATTGAAATTCGAAATTGGCTTCATGATCTTTTTAACACTTCCCTCTTGAATTGCGTTGACCAATCTGGAAAATTCAGAAATTCAGAAATTCAGAAATTCGGAAATTCAGAATTTCAGAAATTCAGAAATTCGGAAATTCAGAAGATCAGAAATTCGGAAATTCAGAATTTCAGAAATTCAGGAACATAGAAATTCGGAAATTCGGAAATTCAGAAATTCAGAAATTCAGTAATTCAGAAATTCAGAAGATCAGAAATTCGGAAATTTAGAAATTTAGAAATTCAGAAACTCAGAAATTCAGAAATTCAGTAATTCAGAAATTCAGAAGATCAGAAATTCAGAAATTCGGAAATTCAGAAGATCAGAAATTCGGAAATTCAGAATTTCAGAAATTCAGGAACTCAGAAATTCGGAAATTCGGAAATTCAGAAATTCAGAAATTCGGTAATTCAGAAATTCAGAAGATCAGAAATTCGGAAATTCAGAAATTTAGAAATTCAGAAACTCAGAAATTCAGAAATTCAGAAACTCAGAAATTCAGAAATTCAGAAACTCAGAAATTCAGAAATTCGAAGTTCAGAGTTTCGAAATTCTGAGATTCTGAACTTCGCAAAAGTTTTCGTGTCTCTGCGTTTTTAAATATTCTACAGTTTTCCAGAATCTCAAGATGTTGCTAAAATCCCTCTTTCTAACACTAGCTACGTTCCTATATCGAAACAGTGATGAAACATCAAAATATCAGTTCTCCTCTTTCTCTGCGCTTCTCTCTCTCTCTCTCTCTCTCTCTCTCTCTCTCTCTCTCACTCTCTCTTTATCTTTCTAAACCGTTCCTTATCTCTTCTTCTTCCCCATATTTACTTTTCGATATCCTTCAACACAACAAATAAAACAAAAGACGCAAAATTGGCGAAAAACTCACTTGCACAGTCTCGATCCATCTTTCAGTTGCTCACGAAAGTTGTCGCGCGATGCTTCGCAGTCGAAATCCTCTTTTGTCAAATCCTGTGTGTGTGTAAATATTATTGATTTGAAGAGATCGCTAATTGATTTTTTTTAGGTGGTTTTTGAAAATTTTCAAAATGTTGGGTTATCTAGAACTTTGAGCTCAAATATCTCATTTTCTGTGAGAGATATCAAAAAGTGGTCAACTGATAAAATATTGCTGATAATGTAAAAAAGATTTTATCAGTTGAGCTCTTTTTGATAGCTTCTATAGGAGTTAAGATAATTAAGATCTTCAAATGTACAGTAGTAGACACTGATCTTGGAAGGTAGTTACTTGAAATCTGACCCAATTTATCGGAGTTTTTATAAGATATATCAAAGTGAGGTCAACTGATAAAACATTACTGATAATGTGACAAACATTTTATCAGATGACAACTATTTTGACAGTTTTCGGTGGAAAAATAGTCAACTTTGAAGCCCTGCAAAACTAGCCCAACCAATAGCTAGAATTTTTCGGTTTGTCTGAAAATTTCAGAGTTTCAATTCAAATCTTTGAATAAAACTATTATTATTAATTTTTCAATCTTGACGAGAGCTTCAAAATGAGCCTAAACACGACGACTTTTGCTTAAACTCGAAATTTGAGCATCAGCCGCGACGCGACCGCAACGCGCTGGGTAAACATTGAAAATAGAGCAAAAATAGCCGTGTTTGTGCTCATTTCAAAGCTCACATTCAGCTGAATTCAGATATTTTAATTTCAAAATGTTCAGAAGAGGATTAACTATGATACTAGCGAATGAAAATATTTGAATAAAAAATAGTGAACTTTCAAGGCCTACAAAAGTGATCCAATTTTTTTTTTGGTTTTTCTGAAAATTTCAGAGTATACTAAACAGAAATAGAACTTCATTTTTGTAGTGAACTACTTTTTTGTAAAAAAACGTTCTAAATGAGATATGCGCCTTTAAAAATGTCAAGAACAAAATTGTCGTCAGAATGGAATTGAACCTTTTTAAAGGTGTATAGCTCATTTATAGAAATTTCTACAAAAAAGTTGTCAACTACAAAAATATAGCTCTATTTTTGTTTAGTATACTTTGAAAATTTCAAACAAATCGAACAATTCTGGAATACGTTTCCAAGGCTCCAAATCGGCCAAAAAATGCGTTTTTCGAAAATAAAATCCGAAAATTCCTATATTTAGATTTTTCGGAATTTCAAAATTTGAGTTTTCAGACTTACCTGTATTTATTTTGAAGCTCTTTTTAAGCTGATTCAATTGATATAAGTATCATAAAAACTAAAAGAAAATTAGCTGAGAAATGAGCAATCACTGTTTTAGCTCTAATTGAGACCCAACCATACGATCAGTTTGCGCTCAATTATCTCGACTCCTGTGAGAGATATCAAAAATATGTCCACTGATAAAATATTGGTGATATTGTGATAAACATTTTATCAGTCGACACATTTTTGATATCTTTAATGGGAACCGAGATAATTGAGCTGAAAGTGCGGTACCCCCCGTAACTCTCCCAATTTCCATCCGAATTTTTTCAAAAATATACCGATCGATTTAGCGAAAAAAGGGCATTGAAAAAAACCCAAAATTTAAATTTATTTATAAATTTCATTCCCAAAAAAAAAGAACAAAAACGTACCTTAATCCACTCCAACAAGTATCCAGCCTCGACATCGTTAAACTTGTTGGCCTGCTTATCCAAAATGGCTCCAGCCATGCCAGCTGGTCTTGGACGGTGATAGCTTTGCGACATTTTTTGCTAGCTGAAAATAGGTGAAAAATTGGCTGAAAATGGGCCAGAAATTTGCAAAAATTCGGGAAAAATAGACAAAAATCAGCAGAAAATGACTGAAAATGCATCAAAATAGGCTGAAAATGAGCCAAAACCCTAAAAATAAGGTCAGGGATTTTCGAAAATGCCTCGAAAAACTGGATTTCTCCTTCTCACAGCTCAACCAACCCGATCCTTAAATATCCCGTTTGCTTTCTCTGCGCCCTCCTCTCTCTTACACACTATTTCCCCCCAACCTGTTGATTTTGTGGGTGGACGAGTCATTCCGAAAAGTGGGCGGAGCCAAGGGGATTTCGAAACGGAGCCCCCCACTGAGCTAGAGCACAGAACATTCCAGAAAAAGCGTTTTTTGGAGCTCACAGAGCAGAAGAGAGAGAGAGAGGCGCAGAGAAATCTCTTAGGAAAAGAAAAACCTGTATTATTGACCTATTGACTGTTTGGGAACGTTTTTTTCTGGGGTTTTTGGGGGGGGGGGGGAGGGGTGAGAAATGATGAGTTTTGCAACTTTTCTGTTTTCGAAAAGAGCATACTTGTAATCCGGGCCTTCGCGGGCCCTGCCATAATTTCTTTCAGAATCGATATTTTCGAACCAACTAAATCAGGTATGATAGAGCTCCACGAGTACTACAAAACGGTATTACCGTAAAACCTCTAATAGAACGACACCCGGATCGTCCACTTTGAGCCTATAT